CTTTCAAAATAAAAGCATGTGGCTTATGTGTTTAAATACATTTTAAATGTATAGACTACACACAGCAAATGTCTAGGTTTGTGTTATTGTCTTTCCTCATATTAACGATTTGTAGTGTTTATGTTTATTCTGACAAACCAGGTGACTTTTAATCACTTATTAACGGATATATTTAAGAATACGACCGCAGCCCTGGGACTTGTAATGACCACTGTTTGTTGTCACATTTTCTCCAAATCTACATTTACTTTGTAATGGCAGTGGTAACAGTGAATTTTGTTGTTCAAGACAAGAGGAAGTGACAATTAGCTCAGCTAATGAACATTAAGGAACTTTCTTTAAACAAAGAGTGGAGTATTTTGTCCAATGAAAGACTTTTATTTCACCTTGTGAATCGGTGTGTGATGATTTTCCGATCACCACAGTGGCTATGAAGATTAAATGTGTATAATTTCTGACCAATTGTGTTTGTCACTCATGAATTAAACTGTATTATATACTAATTCATCAGATTTGTTATTTGTCTCAAGTTTAGTCCTTTCCACAACAGCACTCATATGTCGATCCGCTCGCATCTTGATTGCATTTTCCCCAATAAAAATAACTAAAAACCAATAAATGGTTCCAGCCCCCGAGAAATATACTATTAATTAATTAAAATCTGAACACAGTTAATCACATACTATTAATTAATTAAATTAAAATCTGCAACTATGTATTTAAACACCAAAACATGGATATAAACAAATATATTGGTAATATAAAATAATAATAATTAAGAAAACATTTTATATTATTATTAAAAATGGGTAAAATAACCCAGAGACAGACAGTGTGGAGTGGAAAAATGGATCATAGTGTGACAGTGTCGAGTGGAAAAATGGATCGTAAATCGATGTCTCCTCGTATCACGAGGAAAATCTTGCAAAAGTTGCTAACTCGTAACATCGAAAACTGATTTCAGGGTAGCTCGCATCTTGAAGCCCCACTGTAATTCTAACAACTTGGTTGGCTTTCAACAAATCATCTTCTTGCTGCCTTCAAGGTATTTTTTTTTTTTGGCAGTGATGAGACGTTCACTGACATCTGTAAATGTATTTGCGTAGTCCGCTAGAACCTTTTCAAATGTGAATATGTTAGTGTTATTCTATAGCGGTAAGTCTGTCGGGGGACACAAAAAGGAACATGAGCCATGATCATCTAATATCTTTTAATTATCTGTTGAGATACAGTCCTCCAAATGTACAACTCATGACATTCACAACAAACATTTAAGTTTATAATATTTTATGCAGTTACTATGAATACATCTCGACTGGCAGGTGTCTTCAGAAGATCACATATCTGATAAATAACCATTCATACCTTTATTCATTAAAAAAGTGTGGGTCCAGACCAGGAAACGCGCCATGGAGCGGGGGGTGTGGGTGAAGTGGCGGGGCATGTGAGCAGATTTGTGCCTAACCCGGTCAGCGCACATAAGAGAGAGACCTGCCCACTAGGGGTTGCTGTTACAGTGGTGGTTCTAAATATATTCCATGGATCTGGTATCATTTAGCTTTGTTCAAATGCACGTCGTTACCAAACCATCTGTTTTCTGGAAGTCATACACTAAATCTAAATTGTTGTCCAAGAGGCTTCTTCTGTTTTCAACTGAACTGAAGAAGCCTCTTGGATGAGAGGCGAAACATCTTAAAAAAAACAAAACAACAAAAAACTACTTTGTCCAGTTGCTTTCGATGTAACTATTTTATGGTTTTCACAAAGTACTTTTAGCCTGTCTGAAGTACCCCGCAAACCTTTTGTACACCCAGGCACAGAATTCTGAAATTGTCCAGTCTTTGTAGAAATGAAATTACAAGTGTCGTTGATTTTTAGAGTTGAGTTTCGTTACTGCTTTCGATGAGCAAGCAGCTGCAAAGCAATTGTGTAGGGAGAGTAGAAAACTCGTGGGAACAGTCTTGTTATTGGATACGCCATGACATACTGCATTCACTCTACATGTGAGATCAACGTTAAACTCGTGCAAATAAACCGTCGAAGGCTCGCATTGAGGGAGCTAATGCTGGAGCTAACTAATGTTCAACATGTGACCACAACAACCTAAAGGTCCAGTGTATGGGGGAAAAAAATGACAGGGCTGTACATACTGTCTGCTGTAAAACCAGATCGCCACAAGATGGCAAACTCCATCAGCAAGGATTTCTAATAATGCATGCATGGACATCCTTGAGCAAAAATCCCAACATATAATAAATAATTCTCTTCGTTGCGCACTGGTAGGTTAAATGACTCACATGATTGTTTTTGTAAAGTACCATTTCGTCCATTTCACTTCCTATTCTCTGAACACAAAACTCCTTGTTGTGATGATTTTTTTTTTGTGAAATTATTGCTCGAGTTGAAATTTCTTACTCATAGTTTATGGCTTTTGGTTAAATTTTTTTTTTTGGTGGTCAGACATTAGAAAGGATAAAGAACAGAAAGCTCGGCAAATTGTTGGTAAAGTTTAAGAATACTCCAGAATTCGGTGTTGTCTTTTATCAGTTCTTGGTACAGTCTGCACTGACTCTTTTTGACTTTTAAAACAATTCCCTAAAACTAAATCTCCTGCTAAGGAAACTAAGGATGATTCAACTGATACTCGGGATCGGTATCGATCCGTAATTGGTCAAAATCTCAGGACTGAACGTTGAAAAACAACAGCTATAGCCCATCTGATCTGATACCTACGTCCAAATGCTGAGCCTGCGGTATGCGGGAGAAAAGAAGGTATTGGATTGACATCGGTATTGGCGGATACTCCAAGTTGCAGTATCGTTTTTGGATATGAAAAAGTTGTATCGAGTCGTCCCTAGAAGAAACTCTCTACCCTGCTTGTTTAGTTTGCTTGTTTTTTTTGTTGTGTCATTGCTGTCAATGACTTTCTGCTTTAACTCTGCTCCAACTCTAAACTGAATTCGGCTCAGTATAAACCAGACTTTTGCCCTTTTCTCTGACCTTTTCCGTCTCTACAAAAAGGTCATACATCAAGTCCTACTGAGATAAATGGATGAATGAATGAACCCGCAAGCTTCCAAACAAAGATGGATCCAGGCAGCTGGATTTAGATATCTGGATAAAATCTCTAAATTGAAGTCTTAAGTGCAAAACAGACGGCAGATGTCTGCAGAGGTAAAAATGAACACTGGCACAGCACTAAAACATACACGGTTTCTAGTCAGTTTATGCTGGAGCTACGTGGAACACAGGTGGGCTTGTTATGAGTGGAAGCGTTACCGGAAAGTGAAAGAAAAGTCACGACAGTAAAGGGGTTGGGTTTTTTTTTTTTTTTTGTTCTTTTTTGCACGTTCACTGATGGGTCATCTGCAGACGGGATCACAGCTATGGTCATAAAAGAGTGTCATCTCTTGAATCTATTGCGTTAAGACTGTCTATGGCGCCTGAGCCTCAAGACGGAGTGACTTGTAGTGGGGAGATGCATGCACATGTATCGGAGGGGGGCGACTAAAGTTAGACCGATGTTTCAGACGGATCACTGTGCGGAGCAATTGTCAGGGGGGGGGGCGGGAGGGCCGCATGTGTGAAATGAAGGCCGCTGTACAAAGCAACGGAAATAAATCTCTTAGCTATGGCTTTCAGAGGAGAGGTCTGCTGTCCTGTGGAAAAGCAGTCAGAGACTTTGTTTCATTTTGGACTAAAAGGCTCAAAACGAATCTTCCACGAGAAACATATCTAGGTTGTGATCTGAAGCGAAAAGTTACAGCTACGCTTGTCTAACACTAGTGGCGGAGTGGGAGTGGGGGGTGAGGCAGAGGGGTGACGACATGTCTGTTTGTCTGGCTGGCAGTTAACGCGACATGGTACCTTGGCACATGACAGTGGGGGCACAGGAGAGAGCAGTCGTGATGAGTCACTGGGGAAATCGGTGGGTGGGTGGGTGGGTGGGTGGCTGGAGTGTTTCTGGGACACAGTCATTTAGCTCTGGGCAGTTAGCCGCTGCTCTGTGAGCGATGCCTGGTGTGAAACGGTCTTGTTCTCGTGAGCCCTCAGCTTGGACACGACGTCGATGAACGCCAGGCTCTGCACTTCTTTGTGAAGAGGTTCTGAAAGCAGCAGACGAACCACAAGAACGGGAGAATTAAAACCGGTTTTGACGTCAAGGTGACGTGTCACGGAGTATTCATTTTGACAGCAAATTTTCGATTTAGTCTTAGGGGTCATTTCTAAATGTTTGGACTAAATTGCAACTGGCGGACAACGCGTGCCATGATTAGACCTCTGATTACACGTTGTGCCCTCTTAAGAGACAAGCCAAGCTCTGATTGGCTTTACCAGCTTAGTCCGCATGACCAAATCAGCAATGATTAATATTGTTGTTTTCATCTGGCCCCATATAACACTTGTACACAAATTACTAATCAAATAAAATAAAATAAAAAATTAAATGTTACTGTTGAATACATACGTCGTATAACGCACTAGTCAAACATTTTCCAACAATTGTTTATTGCTTGTCTGCAACTATGATATGATATTTTCTTAATGTGCTAACTCAAGTTGCTAAGTTAGCACATTAGTTGCTAACTAATACGCAGCATTTTATTTTGATATAAGTGGTGTAAAAGTCGGTCTGTACTAAGGCAAGGCCAAGCTAACCCCAATCGACATCACAAATCATACTATTTTTTGTTTTGAAACATTGTGAGTTGCAATACTGCCACCTAGAGGGTAATTTTTACACTGGTCTATCCTTTGGGGGAAAACACTTTTAATTAACTTCTCAAACTACTAAAGTTTTATTAAAATTTTTTTAATAAAACGGTTTTAATAAAAAAAAGGATTTTTTTTGTTCTTCATACTAAATCTTTACGTTTAGTAGAAAATTAAGTCAAAATGAAATTTCTCCTGAACAGCTCAACATTAAAACCATGAGTGTTCACTCTCTGATGCTGGAGATTTTCCATCACCCCCATTGTCTTTGACTGTGGATTAAATGAGTCAGGCGGTCTTGGAGCCTTTGTGACAACATTAAAGGGTTTTAATCTCTCAGGACAAAATGAGTAAAAACTCCAGAGTGCAGAATGAGTCATCCAACACGGATGAGAAGAAGAGCAATGGAAAAAGAAAAATGTCCATGCTGAGAGACAAATTAAGCATCACTACTAAAGAAAATGGATTTGAACAAATAACTTGGAGTTTTCATTTAACAAAGGCTCTAAAAGGAGTAAGGGATACAAAGGTTTAAATATAACCCAAATATAAAATATATGTAGATGTATGCAGTCTGATTACCTGAGCCCATGACGGCACAGATGAGAATCATGGAGTTATACTTAATCTCTGGAGCGCTCCTCTCATCTGACAGCAGCTTGTGCAGCACTGACACCAGACTGGATCCAACAAAGTCTTTCTCTGCTGCAACTTAATACAGAAGAAGAAGAAGAAGAAGAAGAAGTTACCTCCGTTATCTTTTATTTATGTCAAACCAAATGATCCATATTTACCACCAGGGAACCAACAGAGTAATATGTGCCTATAGCAGTGGCATAAACACGAGTAAAGATTTCTGTATTAACAGTACAAAAACATTTTTTCTATGTCAAACATATAACGAAGTGTACTTAAAAAATAAACAAGGCTTCTTCCAACCACTGACACTAGCAGGAACAACACAAAAAAATTGACTTGCAATTTGCAGCTAATTCAATCTGAAACACCACATAGGCTAACTCATTCGGTAATAATAATATTCGTGATGAATCTAACAGTCGATGAATTGGCACACCCCTGTGGGGGCAGTGTTGTGCAGTGTAGCTAACAAAAAGCCAGTAGAAGACAATAGAAACAGCGGGAACCTCTGAGGTCAGAAACATGATCGTGACCTCTACCATATTCGCTAAGTTTCCATCTAGATATAAACTCTTAACTCAGCACTAGCCCCACTAGCTAAACGCAAACATTCATGGCAATATGTGGGAAGCGCAAATTAAAATAGATGTACCAAGGGTCCTCGACCTACGGCGGAATTCCATTCCTACGGTGTTGTATAACTCGCATTTCGGAACTCACAAACTGTGCATTACTATCTGTATATCTCTCTCCTACGCTAACGCAGTGGTAACATCATATAAAACATAAAAACATCAGAAGAGTCTGACTTATGCTTGGGAGCCATAATGGAGGACAAAAAACAACACGCACGAAAAAATAAAGCGAATGTAGCGCAAAACGATGTACGATCTGCAAATGTAAGCAAAGCCTTTTTTTTTTTGCGTAAAGTGCCGCGCAACAGCGTATCCGTACACTCTCCAAGATAGTTCCAGTGCAAACTAGCTGGCAGTAATGGAACAAGATCTTAATAAATTATGGGCGTGCTATGACCCGCTGTACTGTAGTATTCACACTACTGTAACACTCTTACCCAAATCCAATGCTGCTATGAGTCCCAAAGCCACCAGTGCTTCGTTCTGCATGATCATATGCTCACTGGTTGCCATGGTGACTAAGTGCTTAACCCCTCCTCCCTGGATGACGGTTCTGATGACTTCCTGAAGTACACGAAGAGACGAAAACGAGACGAAGGCAGTGAATTGTCTGACAACGCAGACGTTCAGTGACGCAGCAGTTCATTAATCAACAATTCATCGAACGTTACCTTAGACTTGCTGTGGCGAATGAGAGCAGACAGCAGCCTGTTCGACTCGCCCATGACCCCTGCGTGGTCTTTGGCTTCACACCACTCCACCAGTCGCTCAACCAGCTTCCCATTGGTTCCCAGCTGGTCCGCAGCTTCGGCTGAAGCGACACATACAGTGAACCACATTCTCTTTGTGGATCCTTGGTCTGTTCTTACTTGAGTGCAGATGATGACTTGAAACATAGCTAAGCTCAGTCTGGAGCATAACGTTATTGTACAGCAGGAGGAGACAGGACCTTTTATATTCCACAGTGACCACAACAATAATATGTAATCTGTCTTTCTGCCATGTTAGAGTCTCTCTCTGTCATAAATTAGTGGCCCATTGCAACTACCGTAATTTCTGGACTATTGAGCGCACCTGAATATAAGCCGCACCCACTAAATTGTACATACAGTATATAGGCCGCACTTCTCTATTAGCCGCACGTGGCCACGTTGTAACATGGGATATTTACACAGACAGATTTTTTTTTTCACTTTTAATTAAATAAATGCTTTTTTTCTTTCGCTGCCGTTCTCTTTCGCGTGCTCCCCGCGCACATATAAGCACACAGCCATTCACAGACATACGTTACTAGCAGAGGTGGGACCAAGTCATTGCTTTGCAAGTCACAAGCCTCAAGTCTCAAGTCTTTGCACTCAAGTCCGAATCAAGTCTCAAGTCAAAATAGGCAAAGTCCGAGTTGAATCCAGGTCAAGACTGAAAAGTGTCAAGTCAAGTCCCAGGTCCTGCTGTTTCTGTTGAGTCTTTTCAAGTCCTTTTAAATAAAATAATAATATATTTACACAGATCACTTTGGGTTTTGGAGAAATTATCAAGTCTTGTCGAGTCAAAGGGCTCAAGTCCAAGTGAAGTCACGAGTCATTGATGTTAAAGTCCAAGTCGAGTTCCAAGTCTCTTTACATTTTGTCAAGTCGAGTCTAAAGTATCAAATTGATGACTCGAGTCTGACTCGAGTCCAAGTCATAAGACTCGAGTCCACACCTCTGGTTACTAGTATAACATACTGTAGCCTACCAGAAAAGTCACTGAGCGCTAGTGGTATGAACTTTGTTAGCCCATAAAAACCCGGAAATTACAGTATATCATATTACAAAACATCTAATAAACTGATCATAAAAACATCACATACATATGGATGAAACCAAATGAAATGTGTTTTTTTCCAAACCAGAAATCACACATTACAAACCTTAAGTCTGCCATTGTGGAGGCATTTGATTTGATAGGTGAAATAAACAGAACTCTAACCTTGTGTATCGATGAGCATACGTAACGTTCCCAAAAGTTTGAACTGGACAGGAGGCATCTCAGACTGTAAAAACTTCAGCACCACGTTGGCCACACCAGCTGTTAGCATCTTGGACTTGTTGACCACTGGACACAGAGAAGGAATTCAATGAATGTGTGTGAAAACTTAAACTCACGTGATGAGCAGAGCACCAATGGCATCTTTCACTCTGTATTTCTTCTATCTTCTATCTGTGCCATCATATACATATATAAACATACGTGTATATATATATATATACATGCATATACATATATAAACACACGCATATATATATACATATATAAACATATGTGTATATATATATGTAGATATATATGTAGAAATAAACTTAGTTATTTCTTTTCATGGATGTTGCTCTGTGTATATACGTCGATTCTATAAATTGACATATAGTTTAACATAAAATATAATATATTTATACATAATATTAAATATAAAATTATAAATATATATAATATAAAAACTACACTAAAGCTCTGCATGTGTTTACAGTTTGATGAAGTTTAAAACACCCACTGATCTTTACAATGAGGCTTATACAGTGCAGATTTATTTCTACAAAATACTGTATACATTATCATTACTTGCATATAGCGTTCTATCCAGCCTCCACTTACGATACACTATTCAAAATGAATCACCTTGTGCTGGCAAATACTACTTCAGGCAGTGTAATGCAATATACACTTCATATAAATAAATTATCTGTTTATATATATACACACATACACATATATATATATAAATATATATATATATACACACACACATATATATATATATATGTATATATATATACATACACATATATATATAAATATATATATATATACACACACACATATATATATATATATGTATATATATATACATACACATATATATATATATATATATATAACCTCACCAACATAACATAGCTTTAATAATGTAAGATTATGTTAACCAAGTTGTCAAAGTCCTGTAACCAAATACATCAATTTTCCAGAGCCCGTTTTAAAGTCCGTACAAAAACAAATATGATATTTCTGTTTGTATTCATTGAATTACGGTCCATTTGAGCCACTGCAGCAGCTTACCAGGTATAGCCAGATTCCTCAGGGCGCTGAGAGCAGCGTGTTGGACGGTGACATTTCCTTCCTCCACATGTCGGTCCAACAGCTCCAGAAGCTTCTGCACGATACCAGTGTCTACCATGTGGATGCAGTTGCCATCTACAGAAATACGAGGACACTAGTGACACACTACTATGCCACCTGTTAGCATCGCCAGGCCCGTTACTGTTCATACACTCATACACATTCACATTCACACACTGCCTATAAACGTCAGTTCCCTTTACATTAGTATAAGCAGGTGTACAGGTGTGTGTGCAGGTGTACCGTTGCGAGCAAAGTTAGCAATGGCCAGAGCGCCAGCCAGCTGCAGCTGATGGTTATGAGATGGTATCCAGGAGAGGACCCTCTGGAAGACGCTGCCCTTTCCCCCCTCGAACAGCTTCTGCATGGACTCGTCTACGGGGAGCAGTGGAGACATGTTACATCAGCAGTAGTACGACAACAATACAGCTGTGTCAGCACGGCTTTGACAAGACTCTGAATTATTGATTTAATGCCAGGGCTGAGGAATGTGTTCCTGTGTGACACAAAGTTGTATTGAACACAACGATGAATTGTTTATGGCCTGCAAACCCAGTTTCTTAAAAGGAATTTAGTTTTTATTACTGAGGTTTTTTTTTTTTTTTTTTAATGAAATGGCGTAGTGTCTAAACAAATCAATTTGTTGTCTGTTGTGACAAACTAACTCAAAAAGATCTTTATATTTTCTTTAAATACAATTTTTACTTGGTGTGAAATGTGGTTGCATGACATATATACAGTATATATAAGGGGGAAATCACACTTCCCCAAAACTTATATATATTTACATATATACTGCATACATATTTATACATATATACTGCATGCATATATACTGTTTATATACTGCATATATATATATACATATATTGCATGTATATACATATATACATATATATACATATACCTATACATATATACATATATACACATATATATAGTATTTAATATTATTTATGTAATACTGTATTTTGTGCACTTACTGTAGCTTGATTGTTGATTGACTGACTCAAATTGTAAGTCACTTTGGATAAAATAGTCTGCTAAATGTATTGTAATAATAATAATGTAATGTAATATATTCAGAATATACACATGGTTTTTCAAACAAAAAGGCTCTGTTTTTAAAATTTAAATGGTTTTGTTAAATGCTTTTTTACCCAAAAGCACCATTTCCTCTTAACTAAAAACTAATTAATTAAAAATTACTATTTGTTTCTAATATTGTCATGTTTTAAGACTGAAAAAATAGGCAGGTAAACTAAAAACCCTAGTCTGGGCTTTCAATCAAAAACTATTGTTATTTCAAACTAAAAGCATAAAAAAAAAAAGTTTTTTCAGCGAATACCATTTCCTTTAAAAAAAACAAACAAACTTGTTTTTCAGACTAAAAGCATTGTTATATTTAAGCTAAAGCCACCTTTTTTCAAACTAAAATTGCTTTTTTTAATTACAAGCACCAGTTTAAAAAACAAGCACTTGTGTTTCAAAATAAAAGCACCATTCTCAATCTAACAGCAACACTATTTCATCAAACCCTAGGCACCTATATTGTAGACTTACTAATCTTGAAATTTTGCTTTTTGATAGGTAACACAAGACCTAATGTGGCTTTATCTGAGGCTAGCTAAAAAAATATGACCTGTCTATACATCTGGTTCAATAGTCTTTGCTTATACAGCATGAATAAGTCTTCAACAGGGCTTGGTACATGGATGTACAGTATGAGCAAGGATTCATTAACTTGACTATTTTAGCAGGGGACCAAACTAAAGACTCGCATTTTGAGGTATAATCCTAGTGTTTACCTCCCAGCAGCAGGAGGACCATTAGGTCCGAGGCGGTCTTGAGCTGAGCAACATCCTCTTCTCGCTCCCCGTCTACAGTCTGAGCCACCACCTCTAGCAGACACTCCACCAGGCCGGCCTCCACCAGCTGCAGCTTGATTGCATCTGGGAGGAGACAGAAGCAGGAGACGGGAGGCTACAGTCAGACTGAAGCGAAACTGTCTCAAACACAGATGCTGCTGCAGTGAAGCCGAGACTCATCACAGAACAACAATACAAAAATAACTCAGAAATTCTCACTCTGAAATGGCTGCTGAAGCTTTAAAGATGACGGCAGCATCAGTGTTGTGAGAGATCGTCGAATGAAACGTGGCGAAAAGTAAAATTTAATTTGGTTGATCTGAAGAATATTACAGTATTTATTTATTTACTGCTAATCATTTTTGTCTTTTTGCGACAGGGGAAATTCAATACTTATCCACTGGGTAGCAGCAGATGGCTTAAAAAAAAATACACTGCTGTTCAGGAAAATCTTCCTGTCTTTCTTCAATTCCTTTCAGTACATCAGCATTGTGTTCAACCGAAGAGGCACACACTGAGTAAAATTTGGATGAAATTGAAACATGATCATTGCAATTCTTAATATATACTTTCAGACATTTTTGTTTGGTGGCACATGATGGGATTTTTCTAATGTAAAAATATGGGCGGTGGCTAAAAATAGCTGTACTCGCTCAATGGGCACAAGTTACTTATTTGAAAAAATTCTATCATCCAGAACATGCAATATTTATGCCTCCTAAACAGAACAAAACTTAGTTTTATAAAAATATGTTACCATCAAATGATTAGGCTTCCTCATGTTTGTTTGTATTTGTAAGTGTTGTATAAAGATATGTCCTAATTGTATTGTTGGCAAAATGTTTTTTTAATGTTACTTTAAGTAACTTAAGTCTTAATATGGATTATAAAACAATCTAACCTATATATCAGCCAATAAAAAAAATAGATGGAATATTTGTATGTACTTTAAGTAACTTAAGTCTTAATATGAATTATAAAACAATATAACCTATATCAATAAAAATAAATTGAATATTTGTATAGAAAAATATAAAGTAAAATGTTTTCACTATATAATTCCAATAGATTAGATATTATAAAGTATATGCAAAAAATGTTTAAAAGAAATCTGTTCAAAATGTGCTTCTGATCAAGGATAAACAACAGTGCTGTTAACCAGTTCATCTACAGTGGAGATGGAGAGGGAAAGGTTTCTCTTAAGCCGAGTTCAGCTGCACGTCGTTGTGGAGACGCACACTGTGGGAGCAGCCGAGTGTGCCTGCAATGGTGATAACAAAAGCCAGGACGGTGCTTTGCAGTATTTATCAGATGCTGAAAGGTGTGTTTGCGCACATACACACACACACACATACAGTCCTCTGTTAGGTTGGTTTGAACACCTAAAATAATATATGGGTTCTGAATTTTGTTTTTTTATTTGGACAATGTTTAGGAATTTAAAGAAGTTAAGTGACGTTTTCATTAATTTAAAGTGTATTCTTTTGTTTTAAATGTTCAGATATAGATTGATGATTATTAAATGTAAGTAGTAGTGCTACAACACAAAGCACAACTGTTTGAAGTAAATTCTTACTTAATTTTAGGATAAGGTACACAAGAGAAATAAAATAGCCAAAAAAAAAAATGATGGGCCTGTTTAGTTAAACACAACCCTGATATACTCGTAGGAATTAAAGAAAGACGCATAATAATATTTATTCTTGTCTTGGTCTTTTGAATAACACACCCTTTAGTTTCAGTCATATTTCGTCAGCTAAAATCTTTTAGTCTTTACCATTCTCTGCCAGAGGAGCCAGGACCTCGAAAATCATTTCCTTCTTCTCGTGCTCCGTCTGCTTCTGGAAGAGACGCACCAGCTCCTCAGCAATGTTGGTGGAGGCAAACTGTTCTTTGCTGGACTCTGAAAACACGAGAAGGTCATTCAACACCCGGGTCTCAGAGTAGAGAGTTGGTCATTTATCAGGTCAATTCAAGCAAGTACTGTATGTTTTCTTAAAAGCATTTTTAAAAATTAAAAGACAATCATTGTAGAGTTTTTCCAATGACAAAGTATCATACTATACAGTACCTTAATATGTTATGATTTATTTAAAGTTACTAATTCGTTTGTTAACCACCTACAATTTTCAAGCACCTTAAAGGGACATTTCCTAGTCTGTCATAGGCTATTACAACACAATTAGTAATTCATATACATTATTTCAATGGTTTCCAAAACTCTTCTGCAGAGACCCCTATTGGTAGTAAGGAGTATTGTCAGACCCATATTCCGATGACACAGACACAGTTATTGCTTCAACACCCAACTGAACTTTACTGAAAACACTAATTCCAAAACTCAAATAATTGGAATTATTTGGTAGCATTTTGCTCAAAGTCTCACCTTAAGGATGTCTTTTTAAGAAAAAAATGTAAGAACATTTAAAGAATAATACCAGTTATATAAAGTTACTAGAGAGACAGATATTTGTTTCCGTGTAACATACCCAGCTCTGCAAGGTTCCCAAAGGCGATGAGACACATTTCTGTCAGGGCTGTGTTATGGGAATGGATGCCTAGCAGCTTCACCAGCGTGGGAATCACACCCATATTGATCAGCTGGGCTTGTAAGGAATCTGCAGTAAACACACAGACAGAAGAGCAACGAGCGCATTTAGAGTTTCACATCTAAGAACAACCCAAGGACAAAAACAGAATGGAAAGTATCTATTTTTTTTTTAAGCTGAGATGATGTGCAATACTATCACACTGTGATCCCTGATACAGATATTACATTTAAATATATCTTTACAAAAACACCGTAGATGATTTTGAGAGGGAAACATTTCTTGATACTCTACAATTATAGGAAACGATAATGCAGAAAAATTGAGCACATTTTTTCAGGGTCACAGAATCCAGGCTTCTTCATTGTACTTTCCAATTGCACCAAAGTGAAGGAGAACAAAACAATTTCACAGTAGACTCCAGTGAAACATTAGGCTGCCACAAAAGAGTGATTATTTGTCTGGTATTAAGAGTTAAAAAGTGTAAGAAGCACATCAAGAGCCAAGAGAGAGAGGCTTCAGCTCTTTGGCCCAACACCAGAGTGAATGACTGTAGACAACAATAAGCAGATGAGAAGAACAGAGCGAAGAAAAGAAATGTGACATTTGGGTTCAAGTAGTAGCACCAACAGAGCCATAAAGACTAGTGGAAGTAATAAGTAGGTTCAATATTTATCATTAAATATTCAAAAATAAAATAAAATACTGTTTTACAGTGGCTTTGGCAACTAAAAAAAAGTGTATAACCATGATTTTTCCTTCTAGAAAGGATTATAGTCAAGTCAATCTCCCTATTGACACATTAACAGCTATTGCTTTCCTGTCAATCTTTTAAAATTAAATTAAGTGCCTTCAAAATAAAAGCTTAAAGACTAAATGTAAAATTAAGCTTGGATTTAAGCAGGTTATTGTTTCATAAAATTCTATTTTTATAACTAAACACAAAACCAAATTATTTAAATATATATATATTTACATATATATATTTACATATTGTCTCTGTGTATAAAGACGATTAGTTAAGTATAGAGTGTATGTGTATGACTTATTGCTGTTGTTGTTTTTGAGCGCACACATTAACTACTAAACTACCGTAATAACAGTTTTTAAGAAAACTAAATACTGCGAAAAGTATTATTTTTTTCTACTATACCAGGCGTGGGCAAACGTTTTGACTTGCGAGCCAAAATTGTCCTAAAATTGAACAGGGGGCCGGGTCAGATAGAGCATTTGTGTTAACTGAGATAAATGACATGTAAAAGTCATGCATTAAGGCTAAAAGGCTAAAATGCTTTTAGACTTTTCTACGCCATCTATTAGTGAAACGTGGCTATTGCAGGGAAAAGGCAGAATTATAATGATAATATAAATAAATTATATAATTTGGAAAAGTTTGGAGGGCCGGATTAAAAAGCTGAACGGGCTGCATCCGGGCCCCGGGCCTTATTTTGCCCATGCCTGTACTATACTGAGCAAAGACCCTGGCTGGGTTAATAAAATAAATAAATTTTTAAC